TGGGAACACGGTGGGAACATTGTTTAACATTGTGGGAACACGGTGGGAACATTGTTTGACATTGTGGGAACACGGTGGGAACATTGTTTAACATTGTGGGAACACGGTGGGAACATTGTTTGACATTGTGGGAACACGGTGGGAACATTGTTTAACCTTGTGGGAACACGGTGGGAACATTGTTTAACCTTGTGGGAACACGGTGGGAACAATGTTTGACATTGTGGGAACACGGTGGGAACATTGTTTAACGTTGTGGGGACAAGGTGGGAACATTGTTTAACCTTGTGGGAACACGGTGGGAACAATGTTTGACATTGTGGGAACACGGTGGGAACATTGTTTAACGTTGTGGGGACAAGGTGGGAACATTGTTTAACCTTGTGGGAACAAGGTGGGAACATTGTTCCACATTGCTGGAACAATGTTTGACATTGTTGGCACAAGTTTTAACACTGTGGGTACAAGGTTTAACATTATGGGAACACGGTTTGACATTGTTGGCACAAGTTTTAACATAGCACGAACAATGTTTAACACTGTGGGTACACAGTTTGACATAGTGGTAAATACATTGATATTGGATGGTGAAAGGAAGAAGCTTTAAAAGTAATGTAACAATTATCCAACAGAATTGGAAAACTACATCTGTCCAGTGTTTCTTCAAGATTTTTTACCGGGGCGGGAGGGGTGGGGGGGAACACTTGAAATTTCCGGGGGAAGGGGGGGGGGTGGACACTGTTAAATCTATATATTTTTTATATATAAATTCCATTTCCTACCCGGGGGGGGGGGCGGTAGACTTCCTCCTCCGCCCCCCTCTCAGAAGAGATGCCTAGAAGAAACTCTGCATCTCTCATGAAATGTGGAGGAAATATCTAATTAAGACGTACAATCAGGATATGGTTTCTTGGTGGCTTCATTATCACCTAGATTAGCTCACACGTGTAATTAAAAACCACCTTAAACAAACCCCGCAAATTTTTATTTTCTTGGAAATCAAGAATGCAACATGATATACAGGGATTATAGGTTAATCCCGTTCGTCGGACACTCGTTCGCCTTAATCTTATTGATCGCAGATTATCGATTACATTTGAAAACTAAGCCTCAGCGACTGGTAAATTGATAGTAATCATGTGTCTAAGGTTTCAACACTCAACATGTTGAAGTGTTGAAATAAGTGTAGCAGCTTCTAGAAGTTTCCTGTTGGGTCAGCGGGCTACATGTCCAGCAGACGACCCGCCAGTTGAGGGTCATGCTGACCTTCAACTCAAGGCGCGATAAAAAATAAATTAGTTACGATTTTAATTTTTGTTGAAACATTTATTTAGCTGATCCAAAGTATGCAGCACAGATGTTAGAGTATGACGTGTCAGACACATGTGTATGATGATTACGTGTCTGACACATGTGTATAACCGATGTATGTGTCTGACACGTTTATATGACGAATGTGAGTGTCCGAATAGTGTATACAAGCCAAGTCCATCTTGTTTTGAAGTCCATAGTGGAAGATTAGCAATAATTACATCTACCACCCCCTCCCCCTCCCCACTTCGACCCCCCTCACCACTACGACACCCCCCCCCCCCCACTACGACCCCCCCCCCCACCCACTACGACCCCCCTCCCCACTACGACCCCCCCCCCCACTACGACCCCCCTCCCTACCCTCACTTGCAGACGATGCCGTCACAACGTCAGCAACACACCGCCTAAGGGGAGACTACAGGTCTCAACACGTGTGAGTACACCATATGTCATACATCGGGCGCACACGAACTGCACGTGTCAGAGTGGGGTCAAGTCAGGCACCATCGTGTGTTGACGGGGAGGAGAATCTGTGAGGACAAGGGGAGGAGGGGAGGAGAATCAGTGAGGACATGGTGACATTGTTGTAGTTTAAACTTTAGAATTCGTCACCCACACTCATGAAACTAGTGGTGTTTGCTGTGGTGGTGGCGAGTGGTTGTCGAGCCCCGCGCTAGGGTTCAGCGAGGGTTGACCCCGGTGTTATGGGTTCAGGAGGATGGACCCGTCATTAGGGTTCAGGGGGGTTGGGGTTGTCTCCTTGTGGCTGAGGTTAGATTTTAAAGGGTTTATGACAGCCTTGAAAAAAAAATTAAAAAAGGACCTTGAACTACAAACCTGTCTCCGTGCATGAATGACCTTCACCCTGTTTCTGTGTTAAAACGTAATCTCGCGACCCCTCCCCCATCAACGGCTGAGTTTTGTTGAACTAGCTCATGTTTCATGCCTGGTGTATTTTTCTAAGTCCGAGAATCGCACGACTGGTTAATTTTTTCAATGTACGTAAAATCTTTCTGTGTGCATAAAAAAATAATCTCGAACCGCCGTATTTCTGAGACAGGGTTATGTAAAGTAAACATGTCATACTTTCCCATAGAATTTTTGTCAATTTGTGATCATTCGCGGTAAATATTTTATCGGGTTGCATACCCCGGGCCATTTCATGGCTGTCATCTCTACATTAATCTGAACACATCTAGTTTTTATATTGCAAGTAATGTGGGGCGGATGTGGTCGGGTTGGTGGAGTGGCGCGCCATTAGGGCTGGAGTTCGAATCTCACTTCGTCGGCCGATATTTGTCTCGAGACTCGTCATCCGTGTCTGCCAAAGTCCATTTTACTTTTTTTTTTGTTTTATTTTTAATTTTTAAAGCACCCTGCTAATATGGTTTTAGGGGTCATCCATAAATGACGTCACGCTTTTTTTGACGATTTTTACCTCCCCCTCCCCTACGTCACACATCGTCACAAAAAGCCAGACCCCCTCCCCTAAAATGACGTCACACCTCAGCCTACACCCCCCCCCCCCCTCAAAATTGCTGTTGAATTTTTCTTAAAACATCGATATTTTTCCAAAATCTTGTCTGAACTCTGTCAACATAGAGTATTTTAATCAATTCCTATTACAATTTATTAAAACAGTTTTCTAAAACTCGAAATAAAGGCTAAAACTCGTTTTCTAACATTGCTTTTATATAATGCAAAAGTGTGACGTCACACCAACTGAACCACCCCCCTCCCCCTCATCAAACACCGTCACAAAATTACAGACCCCCCCCTACCCCTATGAGTGTGACGTCATTTATGGACGAGCTATTACTAAAATTCCGTCATATCCCCAGTATCAAAGCAAACATTTTTCTTGAAGCCAAGTTGAAGCATACGCTCGTCTAATTTACAACCCAATAATTTGTTTCGCTATTTTATCAGCAGATTGACATATTTTGATACACCTCTATAAACCGGCACGCGCTGTGACGTCAGCAGAGGAATAAATATTGAAATTAAGTCATAGTTTTATTGATTGTGTCATAAAATGTCTGTGTCGTTAGACATGGACAATTGTGTCATAAATTTGCGTGTCATCAGATGTTGAAGGCAAATGACGTTATCTAGACGCGGCGGTCTGATTTTCTGATATTTGAAAATCGCTAACTCGTAATTCGTTATTTTAGGATAGCAGTTTAAAGGTTAAATACTGGTCAATTTAGTTGGCACTACCTAGAAAATCAAGGAATATTCATTTTAAAAAATACTGGAATTGCTTAGAATTACATTTTCTAGAATGACTTTGCTAAGAATGGCATAACCTATAGCGAAAATGCCGTACACTTGAATCAAGCGCCGAAATATGTTTATGAAAATTGATAACAAATACATTTACCTTCTCTGAATGAAAACACGCTGAGCTAGGAATTTTTCCTAGGGTCTCAGTACAAACAGACGGAAAGACCGCTCTCGGCATTAATTTGACCAATGAGCAGCCTTGTTACAACTCGCCGCTGGCTATATTCCAGTAAACAAAAGGGTTATCTTTTCCTTTTTGTCTTGATAGACCCTAAAGAAAATATTTAGTCTGAGCGATATGAGAAAATTCCAGAACTTTCTACAAGAGACTAGCGGTGCCTCAACAGTCTGTAGTCTAATAAACCGTGTGGGGGTAAGTTCGTTGGTGGAGGCCGTCTTTGATTGGCTGAGTGAGGGGAGTATCATGGGGAGGGGTGTAAGTGGGGGGATGGTTGAGGTGTCATGGGGAGGGGAGTAAGTGGGGGGATGGTTGAGGTGTCATGGGGAGGGGAGTAAGTGGGGGATGGTTGAGGTGTCATGGGGAGGGGGGGAGTAAGCGGTGGGGGGATGGTTGAGGTGTCATGGGGATGGGAGTAAGTGGGGGGGGATGGTTGAGGTGTCATGGGGAGGGGAGTAAGTGGGGGGGGGATGGTTGAGGTGTCATGGGGAGGGGAGTAAGTGGGGGGATGGTTGAGGTGTCATGGGGAGGGGAGTAAGTGGGGGGATGGTTGAGGTGTCATGGGGAGGGGAGTAAGTGGGGGGATGGTTGAGGTGTCATGGGGAGGGGAGTAAGTGGGGGGATGGTTGAGGTGTCATGGGGGAGGAAGGGGAGCGGAAGGGGAGTGGAGTAATAGAGGATGATGGGAGGGGGTATGAGTGACGGAGATAGAGGAGGGGGGAGGAAGGAGAGTGGAAGTGAAGGATAGGCGTGTAGGGTAGACTGGTAGCGGAGTAGGGGGTGGTGGTGGTAGAGTAGGAAGATGAGTGGATTAAGAGAGCAATTTAAGGATGGTGTGGGGGGGGGGGGAGGGTATGAGTGAGGGAGATGGTGGAGGTAGGAGAGGAAGATGACGTGGGGGGATATGAGTGTAAGTGGAGAAAATGAAATGAGGGGAGGGGAGGACTGGCGCGGGTGGATTTTTAAATTATTTGACACGAGAATGTCAACGTTATACGTGTACATAAGTTTCATACAAACTGCACGACTATAATTAAGTTTTATATTTTTAATAATTCGAAATACAAACGGTTGGTCTATAACAGCATCTTTAGCAAAATACCAATTCTCATCATTTTATCATTAAACCTAATCACATCTAAGTTTATAAATATTTTTAAAAAAAATTAATCCAAGCTTTTGACATATATTCACTTCTATAAACAAATTTCGAAATTCCAACCTTTCGACTAAATCCAACAGCGAGCAAAAAAAAGTCTTGAAATTGAAATCTTTGATCTATATCCAGCCTTTTCCACTTGACTAGGTAAACCGACTGCACTGCGCTACATAAACACAGGATCAGGCGAGGAGTTCAGTCCCTTGTTAGCACAAGGGTTATCCCATCACGCGAGTTTTCTCCCCTAGCATGGGGATTTCCCCATTCACGACCCACTCGCCGGCTTCTAGCGGCTATTTATAGCACGCCCTATTTATTTTTTTATTTCCTCTACTCACTCTCGTGAACTTTTATTTTTAAAGGGGAGTAATTGGAAAGTGTATTTGAATAATGATCTTAATTTACGGTTATTGCTGCAAATATTCACAGCTCAGCTTATTATCAACACAGTTATTTTGAAAATAAAAATATGATTACACTAAATACTACAGCGTTTGTAAGCGCTTGTTAAATTACAATGAATTAAGGAATATGTCGAGCAAAGTGTGTGTGTGTGTGTGTGTGTGTGTGTGTGAGAGAGAGAGAGAGAGAGAGAGAGAGGGGGAGAGAGGGGGGAGGGGTGACCTAGGCCAAAAAGTAAAAGGACAATTATAAAGATTGTAAAGTAATATTTAAACATGACGTCGAACATACTACTTGGGCTTTTAAAGAACACGAGCCGGCCCGCGGCATAACATACGCCGCTATTTAGTTGTTTCTAATTTTCAATAATTCATAATTTGTGAATTCGACAGTACCAACGCTGACACTGAAAATATTTCTTTAAAACACTATAAGTAGCTCGTTAAGGACCATAACCCCCCCCCCCCCCTTCCTTCCCCCACCCCCTCCCCCCCCCCTACGTTTAAAATCGTTGGCTCTGCTTGTAAACATTTAGAGTGAACACAGCTCACTAAAACCATGTAGGGGTGGGGAGGTAGGGAGAGCGTTTGCAGCTTGTTTTCTAACGGCTCGAAGAGGAGAATTATATATATAGATATTTTTTTTTACCTTGCGAAATTCCAAGAATGGTTTGCCATTCTGTAAGGTGATGAAAAGCACTAATAGCACAAGATGGAAATAACACAGTAGAAATACTTTACAACACAGTAGAAATACTTGACAACACGCAGTAAAAATACTTGACAACAACACACAACGTGGCCACGAGTAAAGATTATAATTTATTCTGCACGTGCTGTTGGTTGTGTGCTCACCTAATCCTTGGCTCTAGGCAAGCACGGGGTGAATCGATCTAGTGAGTGGGTTATAATAGGTGAGTGTGTGTGTGTGTGGGGGGGTGTTTTAGTGTGGGGGTGATCCTTGGTTGTGTGTGGGGGGGGGGTGTTTTAGTGTGGGCGTGATCCTTGGTGTGTGGGTGGTCCTTGGTTGTATGGGGTGGTCCTTGGTTGTGTGGGGTGGTCTTTGGTTGTGTGGGGTGGTCCTTGGTTGTGTGGGGTGGTCCTTGGTTGTATGGGGTGGTCCTTGGTTGTGTGGGGTGGCCCTTGGTTGTGTGGGGTGGTCCTTGGTTGTGTGGGGTGGTCCTTGGTTGTGTGGGGTGGTCCTTGGTTGTGTGGGGTGGTCCTTGGTTGTATGGGGTGGTCTTTGGTTGTGTGGGGTGGTCCTTGGTTGTGTGGGGTGGTCCTTGGTTGTGTGGGGTGGTCCTTGGTTGTGTGGGGTGGTCCTTGGTTGTGTGGGGTGGTCCTTGGTTGTATGGGGTGGTCCTTGGTTGTGTGGGGTGGTCCTTGGTTGTGTGGGGTGGTCCTTGGTTGTGTGGGGTGGTCCTTGGTTGTGTGGGGTGGTCCTTGGTTGTGTGGGGTGGTCCTTGGTTGTGTGGGGTGGTCCTTGGTTGTGTGGGGTGGTCCTTGGTTGTGTGGGGTGGTCTTTGGTTGTGTGGGGTGGTCCTGGATAGGCATTATTGTATTACCTGATTATGTGGGATACTTCCTACTGTGTGGGGGGGATATCTTTAGATTGGTTGGTAATCTTTGAACCCATGGGGGTATTTCTAAATAATGTGGAGGGGGGGGGGTATTACTTGATTGTTTGGAAATAATTGATTGTTCAGTGTATTTCTTCGAATGTTTGGGGTAAACTAGATGCAGAAAACAAGTCCTGGAATAGATGTCAAAGCCATTATTTTAATCGACACCACGGTGACGTGCTTGTTGAGTCACGTGGTACGGGTACTGGGACGCGGTGACCTTGAGCCATCATGCGTGCATGCAATCATTGGTCCGTGACTTGTCAGAGTATTGTCAAGAATGTGTCCAATACCTGTCAACATGACTCAGTGAAAGGTTGACGTTGTAGTCCTAAAGGCTTGACGGCCACTGTTTCAAACTTCACTATGAGCGGTACTTAGAACAATCGTATGTGATGTGTGTCAGGTTAGCGATGTGTTGTTGTGTAGGTGGTTTTAGTGCAGCGTCTGAGAGGTTTTTACTATTTACAGTAGACCAGAAAATAAAAATAAAAATTTCACAGTATCGTAAGTCTGAGGTTGTGGTGGATTACATCCCAGATTGCTTTTCCTTTCTGCATTAGCGCCCATTGACTTAGTATATCCAAGGACAAACTACAAGGCAGCTGTTGTTTGATTTTGTATTTTTTCTTTGCTAGATGGGTAGCTTTCCGCAGGTATCGAGCCTTGTCTACACAGGGGTTTGAACTCAGGACTACTCGGTTTAGCAACTGACGCGACCACATCGACCCCAAGAGTTGTATAAAAGTACATGCTAGAAATGTACACCTACAATGATATGTACATGTACAAATTCCACAACGCCGTACACCATGCCCCTACACCATGCCCCTACACCATGCCCCTACACCATGCCCCTACACCATGCCCCTACACCATGCCCCTACACCATGCCCCTACACCATGCCCCTACACCAAGCCCCTACACCATACCATACACCATACCATACACCATACCATACACAATGCCCCTACACAATGCCCCTACATCATGCCGTCATAAATCAATTAGCCGCAAACAATGTCAACAACATAATAACAAAATTCGGGGTTAAAGTTCAAAACCTTGACATATGAGCTGACAGTTGTATCATGGGATTTGTCCAATTAACGCCGTACTCATGTTTGGTGGCTTTGTCGAGTTAACTTTCACCTCAGTACTCATGTTTGGTCGCTTTGTTAACTTTCACCTCCGTAATAGGTTTTTTTTTAAACGCTTAAATTGCTTCGACCTCGGTACTTTTATTTATATAGAGTGTAATAAAAGATTCGACCTCCGTACTTTTATTTATATAGAGTGTAATAAAAGATTCGACCTCCGTACTTTTATTTATATAGAGTGTAATAAAAGATTCGACCTCCGTACTTTTATTTATATAGAGTGTAATAAAAGATTCGACCTCCGTACTTTTATTTATATAGAGTGTAATAAAAGATTCGACCTCCGTACTTTTATTTATATAGAGTGTAATAAAAGATTCGATCTCAGTACTTTTATTTATATAGAGTGTAATAAAAGATTCGACTTCCGTACTTTTATTTATATAGAGTGTAATAAAAGATTCGACTTCCGTACTTTTATTTATATAGAGTGTTGTCAGATTTGTCGAGTCAGTTTCGACCTGCGTATGATTGTTAGTCAGATATGCGAAGAAGACAAATGTCATGCCAACAGAGGTAAGCCAGATGTCAGTATGGTAGCAATGGTCAGTCAGATGGCAGATGGCAGTAATGGTCAATCAGATGTCAGTTGGCAGTAATTTGTCAGTCAGGTGTTAGATGGCAGTAATGGTCAGTCAGATGGCAGATGGCAGTAATGGTCAGTCAGATGTCAGATGGCAGTAATGGTCAGTCAGATGTCAGATGTCAGTAATGGTCAGTCAGATGGCAGATGGCAGTAATGGTCAGTCAGATGTCAGATGGCAGTAATGGTCAGTCAGATGTCAGATGTCAATAATGGTCAGTCAGATGACAGATGGCAGTAATGGTCAGTCAGATGGCAGCAATGGTCAGTCAGTATGTCAGTATTGCAGCAACGGTCATCCAGATGTCAACTGATGACGACACCTAAGCTTTAAGACAAGAGAGAATGACATATGACACGACTAGCATATACAATACAGTAACTGCCTAGGGCTGTACCTGTATCGGTTTGATGTGATGTCATTTCACAAGTTGTTCGATTCAAATCGATACGAAAACAAGTCATGCGTAAAACATTAGCAAAACAAAAATGCAATAACCGTTAACAAGATACAATAGCTCAATATGTTCTCTGTGATGTGTTTTTGTTGAATGTCTAGGTATATTTATATCAGCATGTGGTGACGTCATCTGCTGACTTGCTGATGTTTGTTCGGTGTGTTGATGTGTAGTGTGTTGATGTTTAGTGTGTTGATGTTTGACTTGTTGATGTATAGTGTGTAGTTTTACGCGTGGGTGTGTAGTGTGCTGATATTTAGTTTATTGATGTTTAGTGTGTTGATGATGAATGTGTTGATGTTTTGTAACGAAAGGATTAAAAGTCAGTACACACATGTAATCATGTGTAGTAACTCTCTGATGTACACACGTTTGTCAATCGGCAATACTTTCTGATGGCACGATGGACGACCGTGAGTACGATGCTCTTCTCTTTCTTCATTCAAACCTACCCCCACTTACAGACAACCCAACCACCCACATAAAGAGGAAGATCAACCACATACAGACAACCCAACCACTCACTAATATACAACCCAACTGCACACATACATACAGACAACCCAACCACACACATAAAGAGGAAGATCAACCACATACAGACAACCCAACCACCCACTAATATACAACCCAACCACCCACTAATATACAACCCAACCACCCACTAATATACAACCCAACCACCCACTAATATACAACCCAACCACCCACTAATAGACAACCCAACCACCCACTAATATACAACCCAAACACACACATACATACAGACAAACCAACCAACCACTAACAGACAACCCAACCACACACATGTAGACAACCAAACCACACACTAATAGACAAACCAACCACTCACTAATAGACAACCCAACCATCCACTAATAGACAACCCAACCACCCACTAATAGACAACCAAACCACAC